ATGCTCAGCTGTGTCATGCTCAGCTGTGCCATGCTCAGCTGTGTCATGCTCAGCTGTGTCATGCTCAGCTGTGTCATGCTCAGCTGTGTCATGCTCAGCTGTGTCATGCTCAGCTGTGCCATGCTCAGCTGTGTCATGCTCAGCTGTGTCATGCTCAGCTGTGTCATGCTCAGCTGTGTCATGCTCAGCTGTGTCATGCTCAGCTGTGTCATGCTCAGCTGTGTCATGCTCAGCTGTGTCATGCTCAGCTGTGTCATGCTCAGCTGTGTCATGCTCAGCTGTGTCATGCTCAGCTGTGTCATGCTCAGCTGTGTCATGCTCAGCTGTGTCATGCTCAGCTGTGTCATGCTCAGCTGTGCCATGCTCAGCTGTGTCATGCTCAGCTGTGTCATGCTCAGCTGTGTCATGCTCAGCTGTGTCATGCTCAGCTGTGCCATGCCAGCGTGCATTCACAGCAGGCACACATCCAATCCAATGTGAACCATGCCAGCATCCCTCTCCCCCTTTATTCTTCCCTACTTCCTCTCCCCCCCTCCCCCCCCCTCCTTTCTTTCCTCCCAGCGCTACATGTACATCTGCGTCGTCGTGTCGGCGTGCTGTCGCAACAGCCACGCGGGACTGCGCATTCAAGGCGGCTCATAGTACTGGCATCCCCCTCCCCCCCCTTTTCTCGTCCCCCCCGCCTCCCCCCAGCGCTACATGTTCAACTGTGTGATGTCAGCCTGCAGTCGCAGCGGGCACACGGACCGCGCGTTCAGGGTGGCGGAGGAGATGCAGGCGGCGGGCTTCGCGGGCAACATCCGCACCTTCCAGGCGCTGCTGAGCGCGTGCAGCGCCAGCGGGCGCCACATTGAAGCGTAAAGCCTTCAAATCCCTACTCCTGTGGAGTTACAAGGCACCACCAACACCCTCCCTCTCGTGCATATGAGCAAGTCTCAACACCTCGCCTGCTGCTTCCCCCCTTTCCCTTCTCCTCTGCACGTCCTCCCTGGATACCGTCAAGCGTGCGTTCTGGGTGAACGTAGCTTGCCCATTCCCTTGTCCCCGTGCCTGTGTGCCTCTTTCTTCCTGCGTCTCCCACGTGCCCACGTGCCCACGTGCCCACGTGCCCACATGCCGGCATGGCGGCAGGGCAGGCAGCAGGTGATGGAGCGGATGGCAGCAGAAGGGGTGGCGCTGAACAAGTTCTGCTACTCCGCGCTCATCACCCTGCACCAGAACCGCCGACCCTTCTCGCCACACACCGTGGAGAAGGTGAGCGAGGGCCATCACCCCAATCACCCCAATCACCCCAATCACCCCGATCACCCCAATCACCCCAATCACCCCGATCACCCCGATCACCCCAATCACCCCGATCACCCCGATCACCCCGATCACCCCAATCACCCCAATCACCCCAATCACCCTGATCACCCCAATCACCCCAATCACCCCGATCACCCCAATCACCCCGATCACCCCGATCACCCCGATCACCCCAATCACCCCAATCACCCCAATCACCCTGATCACCCCAATCACCCCAATCACCCCGATCACCCCAATCACCCCAATCACCCCGATCACCCCGATCACCCCAATCACCCCGATCACCCCGATCACCCCGATCACCCCAATCACCCCGATCACCCCAATCACCCCAATCACCCCGATCACCCCGATCACCCCAATCACCCCGATCACCCCAATCACCCCAATCATCCCAATCACCCCAATCACCCCGATCACCCCGATCACCCCAACCCGATCACCCCAATCACCCCAATCACCCCAATCACCCCAATCACCCCGATTCCCCTCAGCATCCCTCTAACCCCGACTCCTCCCTGCCCGCAGATCTTCTTTCTTCTCAATGAGTCTCAGGCCGCGCCCACCTCCTCCCTAGATGACCTCTCCACTGCCTCTGCCGACCTCAGCACCGCACTGCCCGTGGGCCTGTCGCCCGTCTCCGCGCTGCACGTGGACATGGAGGAGGACCTCGCCCTCGGGCTGCAGCAAGGGGCGCTTTCTCCATTAACTGCGCTCCTCCCCCCCTCCCCCCAGATCTTCTCTCTCTTGGAGGAGTCTCAGGCTGTGCCCACCTTCTCCCTCGACACTGAGCTTGCGGGAACCACCGACCTCAGCGCCGCACTGCCCGTGGGCCTGTCGCCCCTCTCCGCGCTGCACGTGGACATGGAGGAGGAGCTGGCCCTTGTGCCGCAGGAGGGGGCGCTCTCAGACGTGGGGGCCTATGGCGGGCAGGGCGCAGGGAGGGGCCGGGGAGGGGGAATGAGTGAGCGGGGGGGGTGGAGGATGGGGCGGAAGGGGCGGGAGCGGGAGCGGGGAGAGGAGGCGGGGGCGAGGCGGTGTATGCGAGTGCGGAGGTGGTGGTGCACCGCGCGGCGCTCAGGGCGTTCCTGGACGCGCAGCACCTGCAGGTGGGGTGCTGGGGAGGGGGGGGAAGGGGGGTTGTTGGGTGGGGGGGAGTGGTGTTCACTGCGTTTGGGTTGCCTCTGTCAGCGTGTATACAGGGCGCGTAGTCACCCCAGAGCAGTGCGTGTGTGTGCGTGTCTGGCAACACCTTGCTGCATACATGTGTGCAGGGAGCGGTGCGCCTGGTGCGGATGATTGAGGAGAGCGGCATCGTGCCTGATGCCGCCATGCAGACGCTCCTCCTCAGGTCAATGCTGCCATGCCACGCTGTCATGCTGTGCTGTGCAGAGGGGATGGCTGTGCTGTGCTTCCTTGCTGCCGGGGATGCATTCAGAGAGAGCGGGGTGGCTCGTCGCCCATGTGTGTTCCTTGTGTGAGCCATGCTCCATTGCGCGCCGTACTGGTGCGCTCTGCCCCTCGTTTAGACTCCGCATCTCATCTACTGTGTGTGTGCACGTGAATGTGCATGTGCTGTATGCATATGTGAATGTGAATGTGTGCATCAGGGTGCAACTTTTAGCCAACAATGAGGCAGAGGCGCTCAAGCTAGCAGACAAGTACTACGGCGCACAAGCCCGGCCATACATCGATCAATTTGTGGTGAGCGGTGCTGCGACTTTCTGGTCTTCACACCCTCGCCATCCCTTGTGACTTTTGAGTCGACTCAAAAGTCACCTTCACACCCTCGTCACCCCTTGCATCACACTCAAGCGAGCAGACAAGTACTACGGCACGCCGTGCAGCTCTCTTTTTTTGTCGGCATTCGATGCCCCCTCCTTCTTCTCTGAACGACTTTCTCCTCTCCCCTCCACCTTCACCCCGTGCCATGCCATGCCATGCCATGCCATCCCCTGCCATCCCTGGCAGCAAGCCATCTCGTTCAGTCTGAGGGACCAGCGCCCCATTGGCATGACTCTCGCGCTGCGCCTGCTGGTCAGTGCCCGCCCCAACCATGCGCCGCTCATTCTCTTCCCCATCCTGTCCCTCTCAGCCACCACGTCCTACGCATCTTCCTTTGCACGTGGTGTCCTACACCACGTTGCTCTTGCTCCCCATCGCTCCCCATCGCTCCCCATCGCTCCCCATCGCTCCCCATCGCTCCCCATCGCGTCCCTCTTGCCCTTCCCCGCTTGCTGTGCTCGCTGCCTTGCTGCCCCCTTCCGCCATTCCTCCACCAAGGCTGCTCCGCCCACCCTCATGCATCGTCGCCCATGTTAGTTGAGCGCAGGGGCTGACGATAATGTGTTTGCCACAGCCTGCATGCTGCTGTATTTTGAGTCGACTCAAAACACCGCCTGCGTGCTTATATGGGACATTGCATGCGCGCATCTTCCTGCGCACTCCCCCTTGTGCGCTCTGCGCACATGTGTGTGTCTCAGGCGCTCTTCTTCGCCCACGGCTTCTACTTCACTCGCAAGAAGGGCAGCCAGCTGCTGCAAGAGGCAATTGCCACCGATGTGAGTACCCGTGCCCTGTACCCATGCGAGTAGCCGTGCAGGGTACATTCGAGGTGGAATCTTGCTGACCTTCCTTGACGCCCTTGGCTCTGACCGCCGGAGCTGTGACAGTTAGGCTGCCCCCCATTCGTGCACTTAATCCTCCTCCTTTACCCACGTCAGGTGCGGCACATGGCAGCAGCGGACCTGCCGTTCCCGCTCGATCTCACACACCAGTCCCCCCACCTCCCTTCTCGTCCCGCCCTTCCCTTCCCTTCCCCCCCCTCCCCTCCCCCTCTGACAGCAGGTGCGCGGCATGGCAGCGGCGGACCTGCTGTTTGAGCACCTGGTGGAGAAGCACCAGGCGCTGGAGTTTGATGCTGTCCTCGACTACATGCGCGCGCTCCGGGTGAGATGGTCTTTGGGGTGAGGATGGGCTTTCTGGGTAAGACGTGGTCACTAGACCCTCGCTGTTTGTGAAGCTTTGCGGAACAGATTGGGCAGGTCTGTTGATGGTGGATGCACGTTGATGTGTGGATGTGCGTGAGGCTTTCTTATGCATCGATGTGCTCGCAGTGGTGGGCTGTACTTGTGCCCCTGTGCCGATGTGTCTCCATGTGTCCATGTGCCTACGCCTTGACGATTCTGCAGCGTCGGCATACGCCGAAGACGGACCACCGTTGGTTGCTGATCCAGGAGTTTATCAAGAGGCGGCAGAGCATTCGAGGACTATGGATGAAGGGGTTGCAAATGGGTGGGCATGAGGGCGAGTCAAGCATGCCGCATGAGACTGACGGAGTGGAGAAGGATGATAGGGAGGATGACGCCCATAACCACCCTGCTTTATAGAGCTTTATGACCTGACCATTGTGAAACGTTTCTACCAATTTTTAAATGGTTATTTTTCCCGAATACGTACACCAGCTTGCACTGTAGAAGGCTCTTGAGTCTTCCACTTCATGTGGTAGCGACTGTCGTCAAGGGCTTGCATATTCGTGCGGGGTTTAGCGAAGTTTTCACCCTTCGCCCAGAGCCCAGAGGCGAGCCATCTCGTACGTGCGACGGGCAGGTGTAACACTGCTGCGACGTGCTTCCGCCACCTTCGGCGTGCTTATCCCCTTGCTCAACCTTCACCCGTCAAATTCCTCACATCTCCTATTTCCTCCCAATTAGCTACCTACTTTGGATCTAGCTGTTTTCTTTCAGTACTTAGCTAGCTGCCTTGGTTTTCGTCTGATGCGCGCGTCTCTCTAGGGCATGGCCGGTCGCGGAATCGCGCTAACGAAGCCGGCATGGATGAAGGAGCAGGAGGAGAAGGCTAAGGCAGACGCCGCACGAGCAGCAGCCGTCGCGGCCGCCAAGGCCGGCGCAGGAGGCGCAGACGACGATACCGATAGCAGCGACGAGGAGGAGGACGAAGCGGCGCGACTCGCGAAGAAGCCGATCGGGCCGGTCTGCCCCGCCAAGTGCTCCGCCGCAGGATCGGGCGTGGGCGGCGGATCTGCGGGCGCGCCAGTGTCGTTCGTTATAGTCGTCAAGGACGAGGACGGGCGGCGGATCTTAACGGGCGGAGCGCAGGTGACGGTGCGGGTGACGCCGAAGGCGGGCGTGCCGGGGCAGGAGCAGGTGGCGGCGATTAAGGACCACGGCGACGGGTCGTACACGGCGAGCTACACCGTGCAGCACCGAGGCGATTACACGGTCAACGCGCAGGTCAACGGCAGCCCCATCATGGGCAGCCCCTTCCCCGTCTTCTTCAGCGCCGCTACAGCCGGTCAACAGCCGTCAGCGCCGGCTGTCGCCGCCGTCAACCCGACGCCGGCGCCGCCGCTGATGCCTACGCCAACGATGCCGACCCCGCAGCTGCCGACGCCGCAGATGCCGGCGCCGGGGCTGCCGAACCCGCTGATGGCGGCGATGCAGTTCCGCGGGCTGCTGCCCACGATGGGCGGCATGCCCTTCACCAGCCCCTACCCCGGCATGGCGGGCGGCGTGCTTCCTGGAACCGGTGAGAGACTGGCCGGCTGCCGACGACTCGTGTCTGATCAGATCTGCTCTGCGTTTCGCGCACGGTTCCATCTGCGTTCTACGCAATATCCATAAGTTATTTTTTGGGGCTTAAATACTATTCTATTTCGCGTCGCTGATCTAGAAAACAATTCCGTCTTCATCCTCCCTGACGTGCCGCAGGAGGGCTGACGAACATGCCGCTTGCGCCCTCGGCGGCGGCGATGGCGGCGGCGCAGAGCATCATGGCGGTGCAGGCCATGCAGGCGCAGCAGGCGCAACAAGCGCATGCTCATGCGCAGGCGCAGGCGCAAGCGCAGGCGCACGCCCAAGCGCAAGCACAAGCGCAGGCTCAGGCGCAGGCGCAAGCTGCGGCGGCGGCCGCGGCGATTCAGCAGCAGAAGCTGCTGCAGCAGAAGAGCGAATACGTGGACGACTACTACTGTACGTGCCGCCGGTCGTGTGTGTGTGTGCGTTACCAGCCTTCGCACTCTTCGTGCTGCTTGTGTCCTGCTGCATTTTGCATCGTCCCTCGTTCGCTGCACGCCCCGTGGTTTTCCCTGTCACTCGTACTGCTCTCGTCCCTCCTCGCCATTCCTTCGGTGCTCTCTGTCTTCCCTAACGCCATGCGCTCGCGATCATTTTGTGCTGCTTTTGTTGCTTTTGTTGCTTTTTTCTTTCTTTCTTTCTTTCTTTGCCCGCCTGCCGTCCCGTTTGTGCGCAGCGGCGATGGACGAGGACGAGTTGGAGCGGACGATGCACGTCACCAACGTCAGCACCATCCTCACGCCCGAGCAGCTCCGCCAGCTCTTCGCCTTCTGCGGCACGGTTACCCGCTGCGAGTTTCGCAACGACAAGAAAACCGTCGCGCACATCCGCTTCGCGAAAGCTGACGAGGCGAAAGCAGCGCTGGCGCTGAACAACATGGCGGTGGGCGACAAGCAGCTCAAAGTCGAGCTCGCCAAAACCGCCAAGGCCACGCGCCAGGCGGTCCTCTCCGCGCTCGCTCCGCCCGCGCCCGCACCCGCGCCCGCTGCCCCCGCGCCCGCGCCCGTCGCAGCGCCTGCGACGGCGGCTGCGACGTCGCAGATGGCGATGCAGCAGGCCGTGGCGATGCCGTTCATGCAGTTCCAACAGGCGCTCGCCATGCAGCAGGCTCTGGCGCAGCAGGTGCGCAGCTCGGAAGCCAAGACCAAGGCGGAGCTCGCCGCCCGCCGCGCCAAGGAGATCAGCCGCGCGATCGCCGCGGGCGGGGCGGGGAAGGAGAAGGAGGGGAAGGAGGGAGACGGGAAGGCGAAGGACGGGAGCGGGTCGGACAGGTCACGCTCGTCGTCGCGCTCGCGCTCGCGATCCCCCTCCCGCCGCGACCGCCACCGCGGGCGGTCGCGCTCCCGCTCTCCGCGCTACCGCGGACGGTCGCGATCGCGCGAGCGGGATCGACGATTCCGAAGCAGGAGCCGCGAGAGGGGGTATGGTTGGCGGGACCGCGGGCATAATCACTCGTATAAGTACAGCAGGACGCGGGATTGGGAGGCGGAGGATAAGGAGAAGGAGAGGGAGAGAGAGCGGGAGAGGGAGAGGAAGATCGAGAGGGATAGGCAGAGGGAGAGAGAGAAGGAGTTGCAGCGGGCGCGCGAGAGGGAACGGGAGAGAGAACGAGAGAGGGATCGAGCGAGGGAGAGGGAGAGGGAGAAGGAGCGGGAGAGGGAGAGGGCGAGGGAACGGGAAAAGGAGCGGGAGAGAGAGAGAGGGAGAGAGCGCGGAAGAGACAAGGACAGGGATCGGGAGGATGACGATGAGAGGTACGAGGCAAGACGCGGTGGGGGCAGGATCGAGGAGGAGGAGAGGTACAAGGGCAGGTACGAGTCGGACGAGGAGGAGGAGGAAGAGAGGGTGGAGAAAAAGAGGGGACGTGGGCGGGACGAGCGGGATTCCGAGGAGGAAAGTGCGGGAGACGAGGGGGAGAGGAGGAGGCAGGCTGCGAGGAAGGGGAGGGGGAAGGGCGCGAGGGAGGAGAGTGAGGATGAGGAGGAAGAGGAGGAGGAGAGGGAGAAGGGGAGGGGTGGGAGGAGGGAGGCGGAGCGGCGGGAGAAGGAGTTGAGGGAGAAGCTGCTGCGCGATAAGCTGCAGCGGCAGAGGCGCGAGGCGGAGAGCAGGCGAGGGGCGACGGAGGAGAGCGAGGAGAAAGAGGAGGAGGAGGAGGAGGAGGAGGAGGAGGAGGAGGAGGAGGAGGAGGAGGAGGAGGAGGAGGAGGAAAAGAAGGGGAAGAAGGAAGAGAAGGAAGAGCGGGGCGAGAGGAAGGGAGGTCGGGAGGAGGACGAAGATAGTGAGCGTTCGGAAAGGGACGACGGGGGTAAGAGGAAGGGGAGAGTGGAGGAGGAGGAAGAAGAGGAGGAGGAAGGGCGCAGTGGGAGCGAAGAGAGGGGAAAGCCCGAGAAAGAGGAGAAAGAAAATAGCGAGGAGAAGGAGTCGAAATTGCGGCCCGCAGAAAGTGAGGACAGCGAAAAAGAAAGGAAGCAAGAGGATGAGGCGAGTGAGGGTGAGGGAGCGAGAACCAAGAAGATTGAAGTGGATGAGGAGGTGGGGGAGAAGGATAAGGAGACGGGGAAGGATAGTGATGAGGAGAAGGAGAGCGAGAAGGAAAGGGATGGGAGCGAAGATGAGAAGGAAAAGGAGAGGAAGAGGGGGAGCGATGAGAGTGATGAAGAGAAGGAAAAGGAGGGGAAGAAAGAGAGGGTTGAGAATGAGGAGGAAAAGGAAAAGGTGAGGGAGAAGGAGAGGGATGAGAGTGAAGAGGAGAAGGTGGTTGAGAATGGGAGCAAGGGAGGGTTGGAGGAAGAGGTGGCAGTGAAGAAGGGAGGAGAGGAAGAGGAGGAGGAGGATGAAGATGAGAAGGAGAGGAGGAGCAGGAAGAAGGAGAGCGAGAGGCACAAGGAGAAGAGGAGGAAGCACCGCCGCAGAAAGAACCAGTAAGTGGGAAGCCTTTGGCATGAGGCCGGGTAACCGGTTTTTTGCAGATGGGTTTGTGGCTGGTGTTTGCACTTTTCGCATTGTTTCCTGGACCCCCCCCCCCCCCTGTGTCCCGTGTTAACTTAGCCGGCGTATGATTTCCTACTCTGGTGCCGTCTTCTTACCTTCTTGCACCACAGTGATGAGGATGAGGAGAGTGAGGAGGACGAGGAGGAGAGGCGGCACCGGCACAGCAGGAGGAGCAAGAAGAGCCACAAGCGCAGGCGCAGCCACCGGGACGAGGATGAGGACGAAGAGGAGGGAGGCAAGAGGTCGTCTGATGAGGAGGAGAGGGACGATGGGGGCAGGAAGGGGAGTGGTCGTGGGGGAAAGAGGAAGGACCGAGGGTCTGATGAGGATGAGGAGGAGGATGAGAAGGGTGGGAGGCCGAGCAGGAGGAGGTCGGGGCGAGATGACTCTGATGACGAGAAGGGGCGGTCATCCAGGGAGAAGAAGCGCCACAGCCGCAGCCATCGCTCCAGGTGTGTTGTGTTAGGTTGTCTTTCTCAATGCTATGACCTTACCACTCATTTTCTGCTCTGTTCTCTTGGAACAAGGAACACTGCCTTAACATCTTTTCCTTGTTTGGTTCACTGCAGGCGTCGCTCCCCTTCCCTCTCGCCCGACCATGGCAAGGGCAAGGATGGCCGTGACGAGGATGAGGGAAAGGAGCGCCGGAGCAGTGGGAAGCAGCGGGGCAGTCGCCGCACGGCATCCGATGATGACTCCCCCTCTCGCAGCACCTGAGTTGACTCATCTCTGGGACTTGCTCTTCCACGGAGAGCCATTCTGCTGCAGCCTCACACTGAAGGACCTTCTGGTCTTCGCTCTCCATTTCGTTCCTGCTGCTGCTGCTCCTGCCGCTGCTACTGCTGCTTCTTCTGCGTCTGCTGCTGCAACATGTTTTTGAAGACTGTCTGCCATTGCCTTACTCAGAGCTGCTCTCTGGGTGGCATTTGGGGGGAGGGGCTTGAAAATGGGCTGGTTTGGATTGGAATGGCAGGCCCTTCTCACTTAAAGCCCCTGGAGCTGTACTGGAAGGATATGTGTGGTATGGCATGTGGGTGCTTGTCATAGCATGAGGCACTTCATGAATGGATGCGCATCAATATGCATGATTGTTCATGAGTGTGCATTTCATGCCTGTGCATGTGTGCTTCTGCTGTGTGCCTGGGATGTGCATGATCTTTGGGGAAGTGTCAGCCAATGCAGGCCATATCTTGACCTTCAGATCAACACAGCCAGACACCTCTGATGTGGGGGCTTCTCATCTCCATCATTGGACCATGCACCAGCCAGGCATCAGCAAGCCAGTAAACGCACAAGGCAAGGCAGCTCATGCCATCTTGTCCTTTGTCTTCTGTGGCTGGAGAGCTATGGTCGACTTGTCCGTCCTTGCGCATTTCACTGCCTGCTGGATCCTCTGATGATTGCTTGGGATGCCACCACATGTAGTGCTGGGATGGACCATCTCCTCCTGCCTGCCCTGGTTGTTTTGTGTCTTGTGCTGCTGGCCTGGCGTGTGTTTGAATCCTGCATGGGAATGTGGTATGGCAGATTGATTGAGGTATGTGTTGATGGAGTGGGAAAGGAGAACAGATGGCCCGAGTCCTGCACTGGGAGCAGGTCATGTGTCTCCGCATCCCTTGCTCCTTCAGCTGCGTGTTTGAGATATTGGTAGCTCCGTTCTGCTGCTGTTGTCCAATTTTATGAACTGATGATGACGTATAATCATTCCTGCTTTTACAGAACCTAGCCTGCTCCTACAACGTCTATGCCTGATACACCTTAGGAGTTCCCTCTGCTCTAGTGAGGGAGCCTTGGCCCAGTGAAACCACCTCGTAAACTAGAGTTGCCAGCTAGTAGCCTTAGGGATGCTCTGGTACTGGCTTCACCACTTGAGAGTTGCCATAGGGATGTACTGCAGAGCAAACAGAGAGCAATTAGTTCAAATCTGGCCGCCTGAAGTCTCCGAAACCATCAGCCACATGTTGCTCGACTGACCAGTGACCATACCTTGGCAATGAGCCCTTGGTAGTAGGGCTTGAGCTCCTCCACGCTGAAGTGCTGAGCACTCTTGCTGTACAGGTCGTACTTGCTGAGGATGGAGAAAAGCAGCATCATTAGGTCCTGAAGCGTCCATGCTAATGAGCGTCAGAATCATAAATTTAAGGACGAGCTTACTTGAAGTCCTTGAGCCATGGAAGCATCTCCCAATCAGAGACGTCCATCAGGTGTTGGTACTCCTCGTCTCTGTGGAGTGCTGCATAACATGGTTGTCAGACATCATGAAAATATATTGCCAGACAAACACGTCAAAGCACGTCAAGAGGCGCACTACACCTACCGTAGAACGAGTGGTAGCGGATCATGTAGAGGCCCTGAGGTGGAATGCTGCACCCGTTTTGAATAAGGACTTGATACCTGCAGAAGAACCACAGAAAAACTTGTTTACTGATTTGAGGGATAGAACACCGCTAGTATGCAAGACGAATGGATTTGCCACTCACATGTACTCATCATGACCCCAAGACATGTGGACCTTGTCCATGCCACAGCCTTCCTCATAAATACCGCATGCTGTGCTCAGATCTTCCACCGAGGAATCTGGATTACTGTTGAAGAACTGCAGGAGGAAGACAAAAGCATGAGCGTCAGCGTCTAGGCGTTCACAACCATGACCAGGCAAAAAACAAATCGGGTTCTCCAACCTTTGAGTGGACGATCTTGTTGCTGAACCGGCAGCCAACAGGAAATGTGTCGCCTGCATTGAAATCAAAGGGGTTTTCTTAGTAACCAAGCGATGCTAAAACTTGCTGAATGTCTTGAAAACGACATGACTTACCAACGACAGCCCACTGGGGTTCGCTGCCGAACTTCGGGTGGAGGAGAACCTTTCCAAGATCTGAAACAGAAGCAGCAACGAACTGTCAGAAACGAACGTTTGACGGTCAGAGTAATCCAACATGCCAGCACGAAGGGAAGATTACCATGAAGGAACCCAACAAGCGGGTACCAGTCTTCTTCCTCGCTCGGGTGGTCCCTTCTAATTGCCTCCGCTGCCTGCAAGGCGTGCTCGATCTGCGCCATATCCAGGTCGGGATCGCTGTGGTCCACCAGCTCGTTCAGCAGCTCTGCCGCCTCCCACACCCCCATCTCGGTCTTGTCCAGCTTCAGATGCCTTTCCTTCATCGCGAGCACCTGAATCAACATCAAGCACACAACCAACGCGCTTAGAATTCGCCGACGCGTGATGCGTGAAGTACTACTTTTGTAGTACAAAAGCAGGTTGAACGCGCACCAAGACTTACAAATCCGAGAGTCTGCTGGGAATGGTTGAGGTGGTAGACGTTCTCCACCATGGTATTCCTCTCGTTATCCTCGTCGTACTCTCTGAAATCAGCAGCGAACGTATATCAGTAGCTGATTGCAGGATGTGACGGAAAGTCTAAGCGGAATCAGTACCTGAAGCCCCTCCCGAACTTGTTCTTCGGACTTGCGCTGCAATGAATAATCGCCATGCTAGAGGGAGTGTTGATTGGAGCCATGATGGAAGAGAGTCCGACCGTTGGTCAGCGAGAGCGCGTTAGAGGATGGCGTGAACGTGACACTTCGCAGAATTGGAGCTGCGGCAGAATACGAGCTCAAAGGTTCGTGAATCTCGATTAATATAGAGGAGTCAATAGATGATGGTCGAGACATCAACGGAGCGGTAAGTGGCGGACCAAGTTCGACGAAGGGGAAACGGCGGCTGTCAGAGAAATGGCGACAGAGCTGTCAGCCTGACACAAGCTTATGCAGGCTCTCTCATTCCCGCTGGTTTCTGCTGACCATCTGCCAAGAGCAGCAAGAGGGGCTTTCCCCTTGAAAATTGCGAGCAAAGCGGCTCGGCCTCCAGACAGAAGCAAGGCCGAGGCCCTTGACATTGACGAATATGATAATAACACAGTAAAACTTCATGAGATGAAACATCTGTATAGGCACTTGGTCTTTAGCATACAATGCAGATCCAGGACATCATAATTGAGGTTTTACGCCACATTTCTTTGTGGACGTACCTATAGCACGACACCCGTTTTCTTTTCCTCATGGCTGGTTTTTCGTGAGTTCTTCATGGTATGAACAGCTTGTTAGAAGCTTGTTACATGTGGGGTATAATCATTAGTACACAATGAAGGCAGTGACTCTTGGTCACATTTATTGCTACTGAGGGCACACCTGTGCCCCCTATGTCACAGGTCTGGAGGAGGAGGAAATGAGGCAAGATTGGAGGGGGTGGCGGCTGGATCTAATTCCACGGCACCACGGGGGGGAGGTGGTAGTCTCTTAGGGCTGCTCTCGGTGCCTTGCGGGTGGTAGCAGGGAACAAGGTGGGAAAAGCTGTTGAGTCGAACGTAGCGTGTGCCCGAAGGAATTCTCTGCAGAGAGCAGTACGAATGGCAGGGAAACGGAATGAGATACTGAGATGAGAGAGAAGCAGTAGCAACGGTACTGTGCGCCCAAAAAAAAGGACGACTAGCATCAAGCTGAAGTTTGAGACCAATCCATGCCCACACGCATGCACTAGCCCACGCAAACATACCTCGTAAAGCGAGGTGAACACCCCGCCAGGGACCCTCTGTAGGAACCACACAGCCCTCCACCCTCTCCCTGTGATCGCATTCACTCCTGCCGACGCGGCTGTGGGGTCATTCGGCAGCGGTATGGATGACTCGGCAGGTATCACCTCCACCAGATAGTACTTCCGCTGCTTATACGACCTGTCTGCATACAGTGCCCACACCTGCCCTATCTCCGGCAGAACCGTAACTGTGCGCGCGTTCGGGGTAACCAGTTTGGATATCCGGAAGGAGAAGGTGTTGACTGATTCTAGTACTGTCGGGGAGCCGAACTTGAAGTAGCCGATGCTGGGCTCAGCCCTCTCTGCCGGGTCCGCCAGAGCAGCTGCAGCCTCTGTCTGCGTGAGGGCAGAGGAGGCCACGGTGCGCTTCTTGGAAAGAGCAGCGGGCTCGAGCCAGACGACGCTGCAGGAGAAGGGTGAGTGGAAGACTTGGCGGATGGCGCAGAGGAAGCGGGGGAAGCCGTCAGAGTCGTCGTAGAGGGTCCACACCTGGTGGGGTTGAGGGGCGAATGGGAGCAGAAAGCCATGGCAGAGCGGGAAACCACGAAACATTACGAGTCAGTGCATCGTCTCAGGAGATTGGAACAAGCTCAGAAGCCAGGGAAGGGAGGCGCCAATGGGGTGGAACGCATGTGCATGCCGTACTGTCTGTCGCATGCAATGGGACTCACATCTCCTTGTTGGAAAGCTCCCTCCGTGCGGTCGTCGTCAAAGCAGTGGAAGTCGGGATCGGGTACAGAGAAGCGCTGCGCATCCTCCCCCTCCTCATCACTCTCCTCCGCCTCGCCCTGCCCCCTGTCTCCCTCATCCTCTTCATCCGACGATATGAGCTCCACCACCTCCTCGAGCACAAACCCGTTTATCTTCACGCCACTGCTGCCATTCACGCCCTTCAGCGGCACGTCCACATCCATGTTCTCCTGCTCCCCTTCCTCTCGCCTCCCACCACTCCTCCCCCCTTGCTTCCCTGCCACGTGGCTTGCTGGCCTTTGTTTCCCCTCCTTTGCTGCGTCCGCAGACCCCCCCTCCCTTTGCGCTTTCCTCAGGGCATCTCCAGCCAGCCCAGTGCTCCCATCAACCCCAGAGCCCTTGCTCTTATCAATCCCCGCTGCGGAGCCCTTTTCAGCCCTTGCTCTTCTGGACTGATCGCCCCCCGCGGCAGTCCCATTGACCTCCTTCATCACCACCTCGGCCTCGGTCACCTCCATGACATCATCATCGTTGTCGTCTCCCACGTGGTACACCACGTGCTTCCTGCTGCGCATCGACCTCCTCATTGCTGCTCCCAGCACCTCCTCCTCTTCTCCTACCCCTCCCTGTGCTTGCCCTGCTGCTGCATCCCACCCCTCCCTGCCCACCGGCAGCCCCTCGTCATCTCCATCATCGTCCGCATCTAGTCTGAAGTCATACTCCTCGTCCTCATCACTGCTCGCTCCGCCCCCTCGCCCTCCCCCCTGCTTCCTCTTCCGCAACCTGTTCCTCCGCCCTGCCTGCTGCCCACCGCCCCGCTCACTTGGCCCACCTGCTGCTGCCGGTGCTGCTGGTTGCCCTCCAGCCATGCCATTTCCAGCACCACCAGCAGCACCCGAAGCAGCAGCAGCTTTAGCCTGCTGCTGTCGCCTGCGCGCCAGCAGCTCGTCCATCTGCATCTGCCGCCTCACCTGCGCCCTCTCCTGCTCTTGCCGCATCGCCTCCGCCACTCTCTCTCTCTGCGCCCTCTCCTCCTCCGCCTTGGCCCTCAACGCCTCTTCCAAGCCCCCCTGCTGACCGCATTGCTGCCTGCCTCTCTCAGCCGCACCAGCCTCCATGGCTGCTCGCATTCGCTCATGCTGCTCCCGCTGCAGCTGCTGCTGCCGCCTCTGCGCCTCCTGCTGTTGCTGCTGCTGCTGCTGGAGCCGCCGCTGCTCCTCCAGTTGCTGCTGCTGCAGCTGCTGTTGCCGCCGCAGTTGCTCCTGCTGCTGCTGAAGCCGTTGTTGTTGTTGCTGCTGTTGCTGGTATTGCTGTTGCTGCTGGTGCTGTTGTTGCTGCTGTTGCTGCTGCTGCTGTTGCCACTGTTGACTGCCATACGCCGCTCCACTATCCGTCGAAAACGAAAACGATGAGAAGCTAGCAGCACCAGGGAAGCCCCCCCCACCTCTGACCCCCCCAAACTGCCCTGCAATTGCAGCAGCTGCAGCTGCAGCAGCAGCAGCAGCATCCCCAGCCGCTGCAGCAGCAGCAGCCGCGCCTCCCCCCGTGTTCCTCAGGGACTCCGCAACAGCAGCGGCCTGCGCGGCTGCAGCTGCTGCCATGGCGGCAGCGGCGCTGGCAGTGGAGTGCGTGGAGCTATAGGTGGCTGGCATGCCGTAGTGCACACCGCCGTTTGCCATGAAGTTGGGTTGTTGGGGTGCACTCCTCGCCTGTGCTTGTGCCTGCCTTACTGCCTGCGCCTGTGCTTGTGCTTGTGCCTGAGCCTGTGCTTGTGCGTGTGCCTGTGCGTGTGACTGTGCCTGTGGTTGCGGCACCCTGCCGTTTTGCCTACCAGCTGCGCCAGTTGCATTGCCAGCAGCAGACGCGTTAGAAGCTGATGCAGTAGCAGGTGCGGCAGGCATAGCTTTGAACGAGCTCTTGCAGATGATGCACTGTACAACGACCGCCATGGCGTCCCGCAAGCACAAGAAACGCGTCCCGCACGTCGGACACCGCGTCTCGAATTGATTCCCCGTTCCCTGTCCACCCGCACCTGCTGCTCCTCCCCCTCCTGCTCTAGCTGCTGCAGGCTGGGGTTTCGCTGCTGCTGGTGCTTTCTGTTGAGTCCTTGAGGAATTCACACCAGCTGTTGCTGCTGATCCTGCTGCTGCTCCTGCTCCTGCTCCTGCTCGGCCTGTGGTGACATTCAGTCGTCGCTTGGCGTCGTGCACGGCCTTCTTCTGTTTGTCCGACAGCACAGTGAACGCCTCTGACAGCAGCTTGAACGCCGCTTCCGCGCCGCTGGTCTTGTTCTTGTCAGGGTGCAGCAGCAGCGCCATGCGGCGGTACGCCTTCTTGATCGCAGTCTCGTCATCGCAGAACGCGGGAATCTGGAGAAGCGCGTACCAGTCCACGTCACCGCCGACGCGGTTCTGCGAAGCTTCGTAGACTTCGACCACCGCTGCGACCTGCGTGAGTCCGTCGAGAGAAGGGAAGAGGCGGTGCGCTTTTGTTACTAGGCGACGAGCCTTGGCGTAATCGCCGCTGGTGAGAGCCGCTTCGGCTAGCTCCTTGGCCTTCGTCGCGTCTTCTCTATTGCACTCCATCTAATCTAGGAACTATGAACCGTAACCTAAGATTTGAACTATCCTGGCGTACAACGCTCCGATCACAGTGCATGTGCATGGCAGAGTTTGAGCTGTTCCATGAATCCAAGCTAAAGGAGTCCGGCATAACGAGGATAGGAAATCATGTATACAAACTGCCGCATTACGGGGATAGGAAGATATGCTCGTAACACCAAGAATACGAGAGCTCAGACCTCTCTACGAAGGGAGAGCTCCCAGGCAAACCATGCACTCAGTTTCTCTCGAAGAAGTATCCGCTGAGACATGGATCCCAGGAGCAAGAAGGAACAGCAACCATCAGACGAACAGAACATCTGACAGCTCTGCCTTTGGAAGAGCGGCAAAATCAGCGCTGTGGACCCTGATGCGTTTCGCTAAGAACACACTTCGGATTGTCAAAAGAGAAACTTGCTGGATTTCTGTACAGCTGATGTGCTTTCGTTTTTCTACAAATAACATGCATTTTGTTCGGGTAGGGGGGTTGACTTTGGGGACCACGATTTTTGTGTGATTCAAGTGAGGGAAAGCCAGCATCCCCCCCTCATCAATATCTCCGCCACGTTGCGTAGATTCTTCCTCCCCCTCCACGTCTTCTTCCAGCATCCGAGTTCTTTTTTGCTGCAGCAAACCAGTTTCACGCCTCTCCTCCCTTCTCTGGTGCTCCTGCTTTCAGGGCCCAACCCTAGCAGTAACTTCTCTCCTCATCGTAACGCGTCTCGACCGCCATGGGAAAGGGTCCTGGTTCCTTCTCTGACATTGGCAAGAAGGCCAAGGGTAAGACCGCTGTCTTTACTGTCGACTGAGTAGTCGGTACTTAAGCACGTCGTATTTGTGTTCTGATCGGGCTCTCATGGATCTTGAGCAGAGCTTCTTTTCAAGCACTACGCTTACGATCACAGCATCAACATCTCCACAAAGACTGATTCAGGATTGGTGAGTTATATAGCAGCGGATTATATATAGACAGGACAAGATCCAGTAGTGCTAATGATACTTTTTATCGAAAATGCAGAAGTTTCAAACTGCATCAGTGAAGAAGGGAGACGAGGTCTCGTGCGATGTGAAGACTGAGATCGAGGTCGGAAACGTTGAGGCAGAGTTCAAGCTTGATACGAAATCCAAGGTACGTGGTGTAAGAGGATAATGTGCATCAGCAATCGTCACTGGTTAACAATGTGAGATGTGACGACATGACTTTCCCCTGTGTTTCAGCTTTATTTTAAGGCCGTGTACGAGGACCTTGCTCCTGGCCTGAAGCTTGCCCTGACTGGAATTGTTCCGGACTCGAAGGCCACCAAGGTGAGTGACTGAACCGCGATCAGCACTCAATGTGTGTTTTCGCACAAGGATTTGATCTTCCTTTGCTGTTGCGATTCACTTTCGAAAATCGCATGAAATCATCACTTCGGGGTTTTGCAGGCAGAGCTGACCTACAAGCAAGAGTTGGTTAACGTGAGCGCCTCCGTGGGTCTTGTTACACAACCCGTTTTCGAGGGTGCTCTTGCTGTCGGAACCAAGGGAGTGGTCGTTGGTGCTGAGGTCGGCTACGACACTGCCACTAACAGCGCGACCAAGTACAACCTTGGCGTGGCTTACTCCGAATCCGACTTCGCTGCTTCCTTGTTGATGTAAGTCCGTTCTACCCACTCATTTTTCCCAGGGATCTTTCACCATGCTAGTGGGTGACTAAGCCTGTCAGTGGGTGACTGAACCCTCACTCTGTGCTGCAGTGCTGACAAGCTGGACACGCTGAAGGCTGCATACTTCCAAAAGGTGAAGAAGGACGTTGAGGTTGCTGTTGAGGCAGCTCACAAACTCTCCAAGAGCGACACTACCTTCACAGCAGGTGCTTCCTTCGAGCTCGATCCCCTCACAGAGGCCAAGCTCAGGTTCAACAACCGTGGAACAGTTGCTGCCCTCCTCCAGCACGAGTTCCGGCCCAAGTCCAAGGTCACCATTGCAGGAGAGGTTGACTCCAAGGCTCTTGATAAGTCAGGCAAGGTTGGCCTTGCCATTGCCCTCAAGCTGTAGCTAGGTGGTCTGCTTATTTGGACCCCACACCCCACATTGCATAGCACCCGTTTTTGTTACCGTATGAGTTGCATGCATCTTTAATGCTGAGCTACAGCAACTAGCTATGATCACTTCAGATCTACAATGTAAAGGTCATACCTGATGCGTTGCGTAAGTTCAGTCTATTTCGATAATGTTTATGTTTGTACGGTGATATTAGCTGGTCACCCAGTGATCCATTTAGTGCTCAACCGCCACCGAATGCGCCCCTCCTGTCACCAACCCACCGTCAGTGAAATTCTGTGTTCCAAGACTGGATATGCTCGAAGCTGCCTCGATATCAGCGTTGACCAGCAGTAATATCTGAAGCTCGAAGGCTGAAAATTTAGGATTAGAACCGACTGTTCTAACCATCGAATCAAACGGCGGTGTTGCAATGGCGTTGGATACAGCTGTAGCCGCCTCGGCTCCGGGCAAGGTACTTCTTGTCGGAGCGTACCTTGTCGTAGAGCCGCCTAATCCGGGCCTCGTACTCGCCACGAACGCGCGGTTTTATGCCATTGCGCAGCCGTTAGTCGCAGAGAGCGAGGAGCAGGTTAGGGGAACTGCAGCATCCGAGGCAGCAGCTGAGCACAGAGAGAGCTCGATGACTGTTTGCGTGGACTCACCGCAACGAGGCAGCTGCTACTGCTTCGACCTGTCGCTTGCAGACCTCGCCATCAGCAATTGGAGGTGAATGCCGTCCGGCCCGAAGCCGTAAATGCCGTTTTCAGCCGCACAACACACTGCGGTCTTCATTGCTTCACGACATTGCTAAGCATGCAATTTGCGCGTAGCTCTGCGCTATTCCTTGGCTGCATTCCCAAGGTCCATTCTCCCCTGATGTCCGTGCAGGGAAGGTGACGACGCATCTAGGATTGGCTGCATCGGTCAGGAAGGGAAAGGCGATGGCGGCAGCTTGCACGTGGTTTCAGGCAACCCTTACGTGGAGCGGGTAGTGCAGGTTGCTGTGGGGGCTGCGCTGGGGGCGATGGACAGGGACGGAAGGGACGGAAGGGACGGAAGGGACGGACGGGACGGACGGGACGGACGGGGCGGAACAGGGGAGAAGCGGCGGGTGAAGCAACGGCTGGCAAGCGCAGGAGTGCGCATCACCATCGCTGGAGACAACGACTTCTACTCCCACCGCCACACTGTATAATGGCCTCCCTACTCCATACTCCGCCCCGTATTCTGCCCCTCCCGTATACTCCCACCGCCACACTGTATGCTAGCGCCACACTGAATGCTGCTTACAGTTGCCGCTGTTGTGCTCCCGTTGGAATTCACATCGATCTCAATCATAATCGTCAATGTTCCACCCCCTCATGCGTACCCCCCCATTTCTGTGCATGCATACCCGTGCAGCTGCAACGGCTGGGCCTGCCTCTCTCGGCGTCCTCCCTCTCCCGCATCCCCCCCTTCGCCCCCATCGTCAGCAACTCTCCATCTCTCCACCATCCTGCCGCACCAGCAGCCCCAGACACACCCGCAGCAGAAGGCGATTCCGCAACCGCGGGCGCATCAGCAACATCAGCACCGGAAGCCGTGAGCGGCGATGCAGCAGAGACGACACGAGGCCATGTGCCAGAGGTGGCGAAGACAGGGCTGGGGTCCTCTGCTGCCATGACGGCTGCTGTCTCCGCCGCCCTGCTGCGCTTCCTTGGCGTCATTGCGGAGACGGGGACTGTGGCGGATGAGAGTCCAGAGAGAGGGCCGGATGAGAAGGGAGACATTGGGGCCAGATTCTCTGCTGCCCCAGCCCTGTCTTCTCAGCAGCAGACTGTGGCGTCGGTGTCTCAGAAGCGGGTCTGTCCTCTTGGGAGGTTGTGCACCGGGTGGCGCAGGTGGCGCACTGCCTGGCGCAGGGCAAGGCGGGTAGCGGCTTTGACGTGGCTGCGGGCGTGTTTGGCTCCATCTGCTACCAGCGCTTCAACCCCGCCGCCATGCACTCGCTCATGGTGGGTGGTCTGGGGATGCACGCTCATGGTCGGTGGTCAGGGGATGATTGGAGAAGTGTCTGCAGGTTCGTTGACGCTCTTGAACTTCTGTGGCATTGCCTGACTTATGTGCTCTCCTGTGCAATGTGGGGTTGGTGCAGGGAGCAGAGGCCGCCATGACAGCGAGCAGCATATCAGCCACGCTGCAATCACCTCTCTGGGATCACACCATCTCCCCTCTGCACCTCCCACCGGGTCTCCTCTTGGTATGCCGCCCTTAAACTCTCCCGTTCTCCCCTCCACCCACCCCTACCATTCTGTCCCTTGGCTGTTTGAACATCCTTTATCCCCTGCCCCTCGTGCCCATGTCCATGACCTCCTCACGTGCCACCCGCACATGTGCTTGCTTGGCAGGTGGCTGGGGAGCCGGGCACAGGAAGGCACAGCCACGCCCCTCCATGCTCTCAGCTGTCATGCGGTCAGTATCAGCCTTCGCTGTCATGCGGTCAGTATCAGCCTTCGCTGTCATGCGGTCAGTATCAGCCTTCGCTGTCATGCGGTCAGTATCAGCCTTCGCTGTCATGCGGTCAGTATCAGCCTTCGCTGTCATGCGGTCAGTATCAGCCTTCGCTGTCATGCGGTCAGTATCAGCCTTCGCTGTCATGCGATCAGTATCAGCCTTCGCTGTCATGCGGTCAGTATCAGCCTTCGCTGTCATGCGGTCAGTATCAGCCTTCGCTGTCATGCGATCAGTATCAGCCTTCGCTGTCATGCGGTCAGTATCAGCCTTCGCTGTCATGCGGTCAGTATCAGCCTTCGCTGTCATGCGGTCAGTATCAGCCTTCGCTGTCATGCGGTCAGTATCAGCCTTCGCTGTCACGCGGTCAGTATCAGCCTTCGCTGTCATGCGGTCAGTATCAGCCTTCGCTGTCATGCGGTCAGTATCAGCCTTCGCTGTCATGCGGTCAGTATCAGCCTTCGCTGTCACGCGGTCAGTATCAGCCTTCGCTGTCATGCGGTCAGTATCAGCCTTCGCTGTCACGAGTTCACTTGTAATGTGTGTCCCACCTCTATCGGTGCACGCACTCAGCCGGCCGTCTTCCCAGGTTACCACCCGTCTGTCATGCCTATCACCCTTATGCTCTGCAGTCCCTCACCACTCCATGCTCTCTCTGGATCACGTGTGCCCTAAGTATCTTCTCCCCTTCCCCCCATCTACCCCCCAGTTGGCGGCAGCAGTCACCGGGGGAAGGGCAGCCCATTTGGGAGGGTCTCAGGGAGGCCAATGCGGCTGTAGGTGCTGCTCTCTCGCAC